GTACATACCTGTTCACCATTGCATTGTTTGTTTCTCTGTTTATTGCATTTTGTATTCTGTTTATCTTCAATAAATGCGATGCAGGCTCCTGGAGATCTCAACTTTACCCTGCCCCACGCTCATCCCCTACTCTTCCCATGTCTCTTCCTTCCTTCCGTTCTTTACCACCTCCAGGTTGTACCTCTGAGTGTTGCCTGAAGGATTCCCCCTTTTTCAATTTAATTTAATGTAATGTAATGCCCCCATTCTCTAATTGGTCTCCCCTCCTCGTTACAGATTGTAACGGGATCTGAGCCCAGATCGCGGGGTGAGTCCCCCCGACTGACAATTTGATTCCTATCGAAGATGTTCGATCTAAGCACTCAGATTCACCTATTGTTTCTTTCTGAGAAATTCGTTTTTTCTCAGAAATTTCTACAGATATGACTTTATATGGACATAATACATTCACCTTGCGTTAGATTGTTTCTTTTTACAATATATTATTATAATTAAAAATTTTTTTTTCATACGAAATTAAAATATTATCTTGTACGAATTTCGACCGACTTCTGGAGCCTCACAGGTATGCTGACAACACAATGGCCCTTGTTTCTGACAAAAGCTCAGACAATCTAGCCCCCTATGCAATATAATAATGGACAACATCTACAGATGGAAAACTGATAGTTAACTGCTTATAAATTACAAGTTTAAGTACATTATATTTCCAAAAAACACTAGCCTTCAAAACAGCTCAATCATTAAAATCAACAATACAAGAATTTCTAGGATAAAAGAGTTAATATATCTTGGGGTAATCCTGGATGAAAAATTGCACTGGTTCATATGAAGCACATCGACAACATTTGCAAAAAGGCAACAGTTGTCTCCAACAAACTGATTAGTATAGCAGCTAATAACTGGGGGATCAGATACAATGCTATCAAATATATTTATTTGGGTGCCATAGAGCCCATTATACTTTATGCAGCCCCTATCTGGGGAAAGACCACCTTCAAGCAAACAAATATAAAAAAATTTAACAATATTCAAAGAATTGAAGCATTGCAAATTGCCAGGACCTATCGTACTGCGCCCGCCTTGAACCTTCTGGTCATAAAAGGACTTTGCCCTTTTACCTTAAAATTAGAGCAGCTATGTGGTCTTGGAACCTCAGAAACAGGATTGACCTTTCTAACTAGAAAGATAAAATTCAGCACAAAACCCTTGTAAACCTTCCTGACAAAATCTACCAAGACCTCATTATCAACGGTATCAAGAAGAAAATTCCAAACTCCTATATAGATATGACTCTTTCCATGAACTCACTTACCATGATAAAAATGACCATGATTAAAAAGTCTACTTGGACAGTTCCAAGCAAAAGGATCAAATGGGTACATCTTTTATTGCGTACAAGGCAAGCAATATTACTCACCGGTCTGCTTTCAAGCTCGGTAAATACTGTTGTATTCCCAAGGTGGAGATCTTCGCCATCACCAAGGCATTTCACCACATCAATGAAGACTGTTTCCCCCGTAAAAAAATAGCCATTTACACAGAAAGCATTACAGCTCTTCGCTCAATTTCCAACACCAACAACAATGGCTACAATGTTACCACCATTCAGAAAATGCTTATCAGTAATAATCACCACCATTATATCACGCTTAACTGGGTCCGTGGCCACTCTGGGATGGAGAGGAACGAGGCAGCTGACGCACTAGCCAAAAGAGCTGCGGTCTTGTCCCTTCTTTGTTCTTACAGTAAGATACCGCCTTCCACTATCCATAAATTGATCTAAAACCAAGTTTTGCAAACTTGGCAAGAAGACTAGAAAAACTGCACTACAGGCTGTCCCACTCTGGCTTCATTCCAGACATCTCTGTCAGGCTGAGTTGAAGGCATCCTGTTCCCAACTTTGCTCTGACTCAAGTTCTCACTGGCCATGGAAACTTCAACGCTTACCTCCACGTGTTCTGGCTACGGGACAGCGAGACCTGCAAGTGCAACACGAACACCAAACAACACTACCTTCATCTATTGTTTGACTGTCCACTCTTCGACAGCAACAGAGTTAGACTCATTGAGGCTGCACTTCGTAACAACCATAACTGCCCATGTCCTTTACAAGCCCTAATATATGAGAAAGACATATACAATCATCTGAATAATTATCTGAAGAGCCTTTAATGCTCTGCAGATAATTACAGTGCTTACAGAGAAGATGAGAAATACTTAGTCAATGGCAGTACCCTCGTAGTTACGCAAATCTACTGAACTATGATGTTAACACCACACGTTAATAAAAATCACTGTCTATGCTATGCTTTTAGTGTAACCCTAGGAATGTCAACTGTAAATACGTTTGTAACCTGTTAATTTGTTTGGGCTATCTGTAATCTGGCATCTATCACCCACCCTGTATCTAGTTTATGCACAGTTAATGTGCATATTGTACTGTACAGTACATATGTTTGTCATCTGTTTTTATGTTTGTACTATCTGCGATTTGTCAAACAAGACTCATTATGTAACTACTTGTACCAATATTAATCTGCATACTGTATATACGATTGTTAGCTGTAAATACGTTTGTGGTATTTACAGCTAAGTTGTTGTCACATAGCACTCCACATGTAACTTTTGTACTATTGTTGATCGGCATAATGTACATACTTTTGTCATCTGTTATTATATTTGTACTGTCTGCAATTTGTCAGTAGCATGCAACATGCAATTTCTTGTAACAATATTAATCTGCATAATGTATTTACGTTATTACCTGTACATATGTAGTTGCTATTTGCGATCTGTAACATAGCACGCCCAACCTGTATTTCTCTGTATCATTCTCGTTATTGTTATGGTTTTTTCTAGTGAACATTTTCTTATAAAACACAGTTGCTGGACGCCCATGTATCCAAACCCTTTTTTTCATCCTCTTTCCATTCTCACCCCACCCCATACTTCCCATCCCCATCTTTTCCCTTATTTCCGTAACACAGGTTGTACTAAAACTTGTCGGTCACTAACCACTTCTGGAATAGTCTTAATATCTCAACCGGAAGTATCATATATAATATACATTGTATCTATGTCTTCATTTTCCTTATGTACAGTACTGTACTGTACATAACCATTCCTGATATTGTCATAATTTCGTCACACAAGTGCAGTGCATTATTTCACTTATTTTGTAGTGATGTAATCGTGATTTCCTTTTGTATTTGACCAAACGAGTGGTTTGGTCCACACCGGTCAGGTCCATCTACATATTTATTGTAAATACGTTATAATTTCTCTATTTATATTTGTTCAAACTGTATTAGTCAGTATTTGTTGTCATCTGTGTTACGTGAATCTCGTATATAATTTGTACATATGTTTTCTGTTTTGTATTTAATAAACTACCGATGCAGTGCCCTATGATCCTATCATCACCCTGCCCTCTTTTTCATCACTTGCCTTCTTCTCTCTTCCTCTTCTTTCACCATCTTTTCAACCTCCTGGTCGTACCTTTGAGTGGAACCAGGAGGTAGCCCCTTCTTTCAACTAATAAAATATAATATACTACTACTACTACTACTACTGCTGCTGCTGCTGCTACTACTACTACTACTATTACTACATCTAAGTCGTAGTATTACAGTTGCTTGCAATAGTATGACATCATCCATGCTGAAAAATGTGCATGCAGAATTACTCTCACAAATACACGTGTGTATCGTGAGCAATGGCAAACTTTTTGAACATACTTGGCACTAACTTTTTATCACTGTGTGACAGTTTGCATTTCCGTTGTTTTTTGTGTAATGTTATCAAACTGTATTCACATAAGTACGTATTTTATGCAATAAATTATGCGTATTTCTTCATACTTATGGCTATTCCATTCAAACCAAATGGTGTGCATCGCTTTCAGACATTTTTGGGTATACAGGCAACAATTTGTTTTATCCATGTGAACCATATGTCGTTTTGTACTAATTAATTGATGATATAAAATTTTTTAATTAGAAAGTTTGCTCTATCTGTTTTCGTTTTCGATTTTCACTGATTATTTTCCAAATTTCGCCGCTAGAGGCGCTGCTGTCGTTTGCACTAGGTCGGACATAGTCACTTTCCTATAAAATCTCACTTGCATAGCTGTAACTCTTTCCGTTCGCAAAAATTTTTCGCTTAAATGGGCTTTCCTATGCACCCAGTATAAAATAATGACAAAACAAAACTATTTCAACAGTTATCTAATTTGGATGATAACGTGATGCCCAAGTGGTTCTAATACCACCTTACTGGTCTGGAGTCCCGAGATATAATCCGAATGGGTAAAAAACCACACTAATTTCCATCCCAATCACTCCATTCCAAATCTGGCTGAATCCAAATTAAGCTTCTTAAGAAGAACTATTTACGCCTATGGCCACTAGTGGCAAAGCGGCATTCGTTCCCTGAACACTGAGAGTTCGGTGTTGGGCCAACTCGTTGCCTCGCTTGGACAGGTTGGACACATGGAGTTTTTCGGGTTTTCTCCACTTTTGTAACGCCTAAATAGGGGCCAGCTTCCCTTATAAACACTTCACAGAAGGCATCTCTCCCTAGGCAGATTGCCCAAATGTCGAGTTGCCACAACTAAACGAACAACAATATTAGTGTCTACACATCAAAATTAATTATTAAGAATTTCTAGTTATAAAAGATTACAACATTGCAGTAAAATTTTGAGTTATGACTAGAATTGGTGAAGTACAATCACAAAGGCCATATATTTCAGCAATAATTATTTTCTTTCTCACCAGATTATACAAAATGACTTTTTCTTTTCCTATGTTGCCTGCCATATAGATAAATTTTTGTGCATAAATATTTAAATTTGTATATATGTATTTCCACACTCGTAATTATTTTGTGCAGTTTACTATCTCAAATCAGCCTGTGAGCACGTTAATTTCAACAACCTGTACAATACTAATAATGCAAAAATACTCAAATATATACTATAATGATATTTCACTTACATTTACATCCTAATAGTTCGATCTGTAATATAAATATACTTTGTCCAGCAGCTTCAACAATTTTGGAAGTGAAAGCAAAATAACCAGCTTCAACAGCTTTTGGAAAGTAATATGTAACATTTTTCATATTCGTGTTTACAATGTGTCCCTGAAAAAAGATAACAATTTCATAAATATTATAGAAATTTATATATTTAAAAAAATCTTGTGTTATAATAAAATCTTGTTAATTCAAAGATTAGAAAATAATAAAAATCCCAACTTTCTATTAAATTCAAGACTTAACAAATATATTTAATTTTCTCAAATTCTTGTCTGTAAATTTCGCATAGTACATTTAAAATAATATCGTATTTGTTCATAATGCGGAAATATTACTTTCGCCAAGCAGCAGAAAAAGTAAAGTGACTTTAACATTAGAAGTGCTCAGCAAGTAAACACAGAAATTAAAACACCTTAATATTTTGCTGAGAAATATATTTGAAAAACTAACGTTTTCAACCTGATTAACAGGCCATCATCAGGTCTAAAAAACGAAAATGGAACAGATACGTTCCATGTATAGAATATAAATATTTAAATCAAAATTTAAAACTACTATTGATGAAAT